CAATATTTTCAAAATAAGAAAAACGGAAATCATCAAAACAAAAAAAAAAGCTAAAACTTATTGCATAGGTTAAAAAAAGGTCATAAAAGAACATAAAAATTTATATATAAATAGATCAATAGAAAAATTAAATATATATATATATATATGTGTATATAATACATTAATTAATTAAAATATTTATATATTTCTTTTTTAATTTCAATGTTTATAATAATAATAATAAATTTTGTAAAGAAAATATTTCGGATAAAATTAGAATTATAAATGAAAAATGTAAAAAAATAAATCTTCCAAAATATATTTACATAATATATTTATTGACTAATATACTGTTTTAAATCTAAATATTCATATACAAGGGTCATATATTACACTTCACTTATATAAACAATTCTTGACGATCCTATATACCTATATAAAAAGAAAATATTCGGTAAAATCCTTTTATCCTTATAAAATTTTAATATGCATTTTAATATATATTAAGATATACTCATATATACTTAACTTATTATATACTTAACCTACGTATACCTAAATAAAAACTGTTTTAAAATGCATATGTTACAACATTATATATGTATATAATACATACATAAAACCTATTATGTATATAATTATGTGTATGTGCACAGAAAATATGCAACCAGTGGTAGAGCTTTTTTTAAATTTGAAGTAATTTTACTCTATATATATAATTTTAATAATAATATGCGTATGAAAAGTATATTTTTGAATTTCAAAAAAATTTAAGAAATTTAAAATGACATTTTTTTCAGATTTAAAATATTGAATGTGAATTATTATGCGATATATAGTATATTCGATGAAGGTATTTTTCTAAAATTGTAAAATCCTTTAAGGACTTTCTTAATTTAAGAATATTCCTCTTCTAGCGCGTAAGAAATCTAATTATTTTAGCACTTATAATGCAAACTAGCTAAAATATATTAAATTCGAATATTGAATATTTCTCGCATATAACGAATTTTTTCCCATAAAAGAGAAATTAGAATTTCTATTTTGATTATTGGTCTGAAATGAAATCAATTTTGAGTCAATTGAAAAATATCTATACATTTGGTTTTTTTTTTAATTTAAATTAGAAATTATTTACTAAGGTCATTTTAGCTGTAAATGGAAAAAAAAATATAAAAAACAAATTAATAGAAAATATCACAAAATTTAAATAGCACAAAATTCTATAATTCATTAAATTAAATAGCCTAAAGAAACTATGTATTTTGAACAAGTAAAATTCATACATGAAATTGCATTTAATTTTTTTTTTAAATTTCAAAAATCTTATTATAAATTTATATAAAATAATATTTAAAATTCAATATTATTTCAATATTATCGCAATATTATGTAGCTGCTACAATTAAGCATCCTAAAAGTATGCAAAATCAATTTAAAAGTAAAATAATTGAAATAATACTGGTTGGTTGGTTAGTTTGACGTGCCAAGTACAGCATGTCTACCACACCCCAATTACCACAAATGTGTCATTTTGCTACCATTACCCCGTGATAGCCAGGCCAGCATGGCTTAAATATGCTACGTGTGGTACGCTCCATGCTGAATAACCTTGAATGACAATAATATGTTTAGAATGCTGTTAAAACGGCTTTAGAGTAAATGAATGGTATTTATAGGAATTAAATTTCAGATTTAAGTTTAATATTTACTCGGTGTTCGAACAGTAAGTAATACTGGTGGAATATTCATGTTTAAATTCGTAAAGGTAATTCTATATTTAAATTTCTTTTAATACATATTTAATATTAAAAGAAAATTCCCAAAATATATAAATTTCAATAATATTAATTAAATAAAGAAATAAATTTCTTCATATCCTCATATAGCTCACAATGCAATATACTGTTATAATATTATGTATAAGAATATACTTTAGTATTTTAATATTCTATTTACAAGTACGTGTATTATTTATATTATGCTATATTTTAATATTATATTCTTATCAATAATATAATTTTATAATTAATTTTATTACGCATATATATATATATATATATATAAATTCATATATATATATACATATATATACATATATATATATATATATATATATATATATATGTATATATATATAAATTGTATATAACTCTATGATTCATAAAATAATATTTTCAATCAGAAAATTAAACAATATAATAGGAAAATCAATTAAAATTCAAAATTTATAATTAAAATATTATACGTATATAAGTATATATTTGTACTCTTACAATGTAAATGCACTTAATTTTACGTATATAACATTATAATCAATTTATACAATATAATATATATATATTATATATTTATGTAAGAGTTCATATTATAAAGTATGAACCTATATATAAAATTAACACAATATTTTAATATAACACTAACATAAATACATACATATATATATTGCAAGTTTGTTTCTATAATATATGTAAGTATATAATTTTATTATTTTATAAAATTTCATATTACATACTAAAGTATTATAATATTACATAGTGTTCATAACCTTTTATTTTTTAAAACCAAACTTTTTCAAATAAAAATGCATAATATATGCATTTAATGTGTATATAATATATCTGCATATGGATATATATATACACACATATATTTTCTATATAAAAGCAATATAATTAACCTATTTTTAACCTTCTGTATATAATAATATCACATATTAACTATAATATTATTATGTACATGTATATATGCTAAGTATATATGCATTTTGTATAGCGAGGATTACAAGTTATAACAAATGTTATGTGAATAACTTTAGAAGTATGTGTACGTATACTCGTACAATAATATATATAAGCTATGTATACCTAGCTATATGCAATATATTAAATTTTATTCAAAATTTATTCTATAAAACTGAAATAAAAATTAAATATTATCAATTATATTCCTAAATAATATATTAATTTTTTTTTTTCATTACTATGCATATAATTACCAAAATAATACATAAAATATTTTAATATTTCAAAATATATACACACACACACACATTTTTTGTGATTTGGAAATATCGATACAAAAATATAATATACATTAGTTCAAAACAATAAAAATTGAATTTTACAGGAGAGCAATTTGAAAGCTTGCCAGTATATTATGTAGCGTGCATGGAAATGGTGCTTTCATTGATATTTGATATAGTTTGTTGGTCATTTCCATTAATGCTATGGTAATTCAATAATTCACATGATAATTATTTTAGAAAAACCATCACTTAGCATAATGTTCGTACTAGAGTGTCGAAATATACATGAATATTTATCAATTTTTTATTAGCCATTCTTATGAATCTTAATTCGACTGACCACATAACACGAATTATAATAGATTTCATAAATTATTATAATATAAAAAAGAATCCACATATTATCAAAAACTTACTATCCTATGACATTCAATGAAACAAGAAAATTTGTATATGTTAACCATTACTTTATAACTATAAGTTGATATTGGAATAATTGATATAAAATTGTAGTATTAAAATGGGTATATATTATAATATGATAAACTAGAACTAAAAACTATTAATCTTAAGACATTTACTTACATAATCGAGCATTTTATGTCAAGTTTTGCCTTCAAAATCTTATTAAAAGCAAAACAAATTTATTTTTCGAAAATAGTTCTAAATATTTTTTTACAAAAATTTTCTAATTTTAAAGCTAAAACGTCATATATTTTATTCAAATTTGCTGAACTGCATGAAAAATGTCAAATTTAATGCAAAATCTCTCTTAAAAATTTTGACTTAAGCCGCAAAAATTTTATTTTTTTTTTTTTTAATTTTACAATTAAAAATTATTTAATATTGAAAACAAAAGCCCATAAATAAATTTCAATTATAAGATCAGAGGACAAGTTCTCTTAAATAAAATAGTACCAATGGCAACCCTAATATAAAAAATTTCTTAATAATAAAATTTAGAACAAAAACCAAAAACTTACCTGATGTCTTCAAAGACATTTGTAAAAATTTTCTTCTTTTTCTTATTTGTAATTTTATTTTTTTATTTTTTTTTTTTCTTCTTCTTTTTATATGAGTTTATTAAATATTTTGTTATATATATATGTAAGTATTCTGTTTGTATATATTTAATAATTAATTTTAATTTCTTAAAATAATTTTTTTTTTATTTTGTAATTATTATTATTATTATTTTTTTTTGTCTTATTTTAATTTTTATTATTCAATATTATTTGTTTTTTTTATTTTTTTTTTTTATTTTATATTTTGTTTAAATAACATCACAGAATTTCTAGATGGAAATAAGTGTATATATATGTATACTTATGTGTACACATATATATGTATTATATATATTATATATATATATATTTTTTTTGTTTTTTCTCTAATTGTTTTTCTTTAAAAGTATATTGTATTTATTATAATAATTTGTTATATAAGTAACGTATATAATTTAATATATATAATTTAATAATTATTATATATATATATATTATTTTTAAATAATAAAATCTATAATTTTCTATTTAATATTTTATTTTCATTATTATTACTATTATTATGAATGTAGTATAGTATTATATACTTAAAATGTTTTAGTTATTTTAATAAACTATAACTATATTGTTGCTTATAATTTTATATATATATATATATATATATATATATATAGCGTTTATTTACTATAATATATATGTATGTATAACTTTTTTTTTTTTTTAATATATAATATATAGGTGGTGGTAATTCAATTCAATTATTATTATTCAATTTATATTATTATTATTGTTATTTATGTTTTATCGTAAATTTTCTTTATAATAATAATTTTAATTATACATATAGTTTGTATTAAAATTTTAAAAAGTTTAAATTTAAAAAATGAAAATAATTTTTCTCTTTAATATAATTTTTGTTTTTTGTTTTTTTTTTTTTTTGTAATAATAATTATTATTATAATAATTGTTTTTGTTTGTAATTTAATTTTAACTATGTATATATAATTTTTTATTATATTATTTTTTTATATAATTAATAAGCGTTAAGTATTATTTTTAAAATTATATTTAATTATAATATTATGATTTCTATTTTAATTGAATTATTCAATTATTATAGTATTCTTAAAATTCATTAATTATTATTATTATTTATTAGCGGTGTATCGTCGGTGGTGGTATTAAGCTTCCAAAAAAAAAAATTAAATATTAAAAATATTTTATAAATTTTTTTCTGACTCTTTTTTTTTTTTGTTTGTTAATTATTTAATTCTTTCCGCAACAATTTTATTAACACAATTTCTTTAATAATAATTCACAAATGTTATCATAGAATTGTTAAAATCATTAAAGTTTTTAAACTATTCAAGTATAACATATAAAAGTCCTTTACTCCTTTTACATTTTATATAATGAAATTGTTTTTATAATAATTTTTCTACTACACTTTTCCAATTTTTAGTTAATATTTTTTTATTATATTTTTTATTATTTCTTTAATTTTTATATAATTTACTGCATCAACAACATATGTAATTTTTCTAAAAAAAAAAAAAATATAATAATAATAAAGAATAAAAGTTCATGTGTTTTTTGTTTTCTTTTATTTAAAAAAAAAATTTTTTTAATTAAAACAAATAATATACAAAATTTTATGAATAAAAAAAAAAATACCAACAAAATTTAAACCAAAAAATATATTTTATAATAATATATGTGTGTGTTTATGTGACAAAAAGGAACGCAATTATGATAAGAGAATATTTTAAAACGAGAGAAAATGAGAGAAGAGCAAGATGAAAAAAAAGCAAGAAAAAAACTTTTTTTTTTTTGCTTTTAATTTTTTTTGTTTTTCTTTTAAGATCAAAAATTTCGGCTAAAGCTTTCTCTTTTTTTAATATATTTGCTATATTTTTCGTGTTACCCCTATATGTATGCAATATTTTTTTTCAAATATTTTCACTTTGGTTTTACTTTAGAGTTGTGTTTTTATGTATTTAATTTTTATTATATATTTTTTAAAACTTCTCTTTGAATTTAATTGAATTTGTATGTATGTATGTATACAAACACAGATTTGTGTATATGTGTCAAAATAAAATTGTGTATTATATAAATATTTATGTATTTATAAGAGTGAAGTTCATAAGTTCATGCACTTTTTTATTTTGAATTTTTTTTATTTTTGAATTTTTTTTTTTTTATTAAATTTCTATCTTTTATAGGTTACCACATATATGTTCATAGTATATAATAGGTTATGTTATAATATTATATGATATATGATTTAAAATATATAGGAGCACAACTGTGAAATTTTCTAAAATATCCTTGGATGACAAGTATTTTTTTTTTTGTTTTTTTTTGAAAACTGTTTTTCATTTCTAAATTCTTTTAAAAAATTCTCTCTATTTTCATATGTAATTTTTTTTCACTTTTTATTTTATAATCTAGTTTCTTTTTTTTTTTTTTTGCTTATTTAACTGAGTAATTTTGTAATTTTTTTATATAAAAAAAAAAAAGAAGAAAATTTGAATGTTTTCCAATTCTATAGCTTTATAATTTATCCGTACTTTAAAAATATTTACTAGAAATTACAGAAATTTGGGAGCTAAATTATTATTAATAAAAAAAAAAAAAACTCAACACATTATACAAGTATTGTGTGAATATTGTGTGAATATTGTGTGGCTATTGTGAATTATTAAAATTTGAACTACTTATAATACTTTAAAATTCATTATTAAATTCATAAACAATATGAATTTTATTATCCGATTATTTTTAATATAAAATATAATTTAATTTTTTTTTATTAAGATTTTCAAATAATAGTAAAATTAATAATGAGATTCTCTTATTTTATGAATGCAGAAGATTTATAATAGTAAAGCGTATGTATATATACTACAGTAGATGTATATATATAATTAATTTTCAAAACATATGGAAATGTCAATAATCGAAACACAATTATATATACTCATATACATACATAAATAAATATAATATAAAGTAATGAAAATAATGATTCTTTTTTTTTCTTTTTTTCTTCTATAATTTTAAATAATAATTTTGAAAATTATCAAAGAATTTTAGGTAAAAAAACCAAAACAAATATTTTATTTTTAAATGTTATAATTTTAAATTTCTTCACAATAATTTTAAATTTCATCTGTTATACATATTTCAAGTAATATTAATTCAATGAATTAGTAACCAAAATTTTTATCAATAAATATACGAACAAGTTTAGTATATATAGAAATTTGTCATTTTTTTCAATATTGAAAATTTAATATATTTAGAAAATTTCATGTATATGTATTTTAAATTTAACACAAATTCTTATATTTTGAAATAATTTTATAATTTTAAATAAATATTAATGAAATTTGTGAGAGAATATTAAAATATTTAATATATTATTTTTAATTTTTAATATTTTTTGAATATAAAAATGTTATGTGTTATGTTATTTTATATTAAGTAATTGTGAAAGAAGAGAAATGAAGAGAAATAGCAAATAATTATTATGGTATATATATAACAGTAGGTATATACACACACGCACACAATATGAATATAGTAATATACACAATTTTATATAAAACTGTTACAATGTTTTAAGTTAAAATATGTGTAACAGAAGAGAACAGCCAAAAGGATAATAAATGATAATAAATATTTTGCACAAAATATATTATGTACTTTTGTTTATATATTAAAATTTATATGATATATAAAATATTATTTTACTATTTACTTTTTTTCCGGACTCTCTCTCTCTTTCTCTTTCTCTCGCTCTCTCTCTCAGTATAATTTATTATCTTCACTTGGTTTTTAAAACTCTTCTTATTACTATTATTATTTTATTATTAATAATATTTATAATAATTAATAATTATAATAAAATAATAATTATTATGCTCTGTCAAAAAAAAATTTATTATATTAGATATGTATATAACCCAAAAAGTGAACCAAAAAAAAAAATAGAACAAAAAATTACTATACAAAAACAAAAATAAATTGAACACAATTTTCCACAATTTTTTTTTTTTTACTTGTTTTTATTGTTTTTTTCGTTTCTGTTTCTATTCAGTTTTCCTCTTATTGTATATCGTAATTATTATATTTTAAATAAATTACACGTTTATATTATAACAGTTTTGTTAATATATTAGTTTTTTTTCATTCTTTATACAATTAACCATTTTATTATTAAAAGTTTTTTTGGTAATTTTTAAAAATATATATACTTGTTATTATAATTATTATATACTTTATGTTATATACCGAATTCTGTTTTATATACACATAATAATTTGGTATATTTTATATAGAGTTCTTAATTTCACTTCTTAAAGAAATATTTATTATATTTACGTACTATATATTCGGTTATATATATATATATAAATTATTAATCGTCTTTTGATTTACAATCTCTGTAATAAGATTTTTTTTTTAAATATTTCGTAATATCATAATTTAATTTAATAATTAAAATAATATATTTAATAATATGAATTTTATACCAATATATATTATATGATAATATTGATATATATGTATATATCATATAATAATTTAAAAAGTATAAAAAAATCATAATAATTCATTTTGTTGTTATTTATTATTTACTTATATTATATATTAATTATTATAAATATATAGGTAAATGTGAACATTATCCTTTATATGAACATTATTTATTATAAATTATATATACATATATATCACAATATTATATAAAATTCGAATATAAAATAATATAAAAATGAAATAAAAAAAAAATTTTGTTGTTTTTAAAAAACATTTTTAAATAATTTAATTTTTATTTGAAAAATTTCCCAAAAAAAAATTGAAAAAACAAAATAACAAAAAATTATTTAATATTATTAAATATATTTTAATTTTTTTTTTTTTTCAAATTTTTTGATTCACATTAAATAATGAAAATTCGCACGACACTTTAAAAAAGATAAAAGCTTATTATATTGTATATTGGACACACAAGTCATTTATGAAGAATAGAATTGTGGAAAAAAAAATTATTGTAAGAAATTTTCTTCGACAGAAAAAAAATTATCTACATTCATAATGTATATATAGTTGTATCATGTACACACTTTTATATAATACTATATTTATGTGTACACACTTATGTATTTACTCTTTTTCGCTTTTTATATTCCTTTTTTAATAATATTCTTATTCCAAATATTTAATATGTACCAACATATTATTTTATGTACATACAGATATATATTTGTATCTGTATATATGTTACTATATAATGATATATATGAATTTTAAATACATATAACAATATTATATATTCGGATGATGAGAGATGGTGATGATGATGATGCGATGTTCAAATAGATTTTATAGTATAGTGAAAATCACAAAATAAAATATTAAAAAAAATAAAAATAAAAGAAAAAATAAAAAAAAAAAATATTGAAATAAAATATAAAAGCTTCTATGGATATTTTTTTTTTCTTTTGTTCTTAAATATTAACAGTATATATATATATATATATATATATATATATATATATATACATCTATATATATACTATATATATATTTGTATTTAGATCTCTTTAACATTTGTTTAATACTTGCATATATATAATTATATATTTAAATAAAATGTGTGTGTACACATGTGTACCAAATTAAAGAATGTTATATATCATGTATATATACACGTATATATCAGATTTTATAATGCAAAAGGAGCCGAATATTATTCATAAAGTAAGTAAATAATATATAGAAAGCTTCTTTTTTAATATATATCACCAATTCGATATATATATATATATATATATATACCATATATACCAATCTGGATATATAAACATAGTATATATTTTATTGAAAACTTAATAAATACATGCAATATTCTATATCATATGTTTATAAACACGTATATATATATATATATGCATATATACAATAAATATGTGCTCTTCTGTACCCAAAAGTTCGTGGTCTTTCAATATTTTCTCTACATTTTCTCAATGTTTCTGCTTTTTTTTTATTATTCTTTTTTTTCTATATTTTGGAAATGAAATTAACTTTTTATCATCATCATATAATGTGTATTATGTAGATATATATGAATGCTATATGAAAAAGATTCTAGAAAGAGTAAAAAGAAAACAAAACTAAACAGGATAAAATAATAAAAATTTTCAATGCACAATAATAATATACAATATGTTGTCGGGCTATCGTCAAAATCATAAATTTATACATATATTTTTTTTATGTCATTTCTTTTTTTTTTTTGTTATAATATATATGACAGATTAATATGTACGTGAATTCAGCGAATTTACAAAAAAAAATGAAATATCCTGCAAAAAACGAAAAGAAAATTGCAATTTTTAATAACAAAAGAAAATAATCAGCTCTTAAATTTTATACTCTAGCAAATTTTTAAAAATCAGCTACAATTTAATTTTTACTTAGATCCTCTATTTGAATTATTCAGTTCAAATTAATTTTATATATTTACATTTAATTAGTGTTTCTTTTACAACGTATTGTCAAAACAAACTGGGCTTAATTGTTTTATTACAAAATTTTCTCTGCAAATAAATTCTGTTTTTTAAACTGTTTTATGTAACTATCACTCTGCCATATTAATGTTGTAAGGTTATAAATCAGTTAAAAGAATGATGACCATACTGGTAATATGTCGTTATAGAACCCTAACTGAACGCCAGCTTTGTCTCCTGTTTAATAAAATCGAGAATGCCAATTACACGTCTCCTATAAAATCCCTTTAAAGGGAAAAGACTCTATGATAACCTCCGTTGCAATCTTACAGCATCTTGAAATGCTAAAAAGTTTAAACGAAATCTTCGCGATGTCACTTGGTATCGGTTGGGAATAAAATAAATCAAATTTCATTAAATGAAATTTTATATTAAGCCTATGAAATGTGTTTTTAGTATACTTTTATTTTTATTTTTATAATATGATTCGGATTATTTATTTTGTATAATGGGTTTAAAAATCGAATTGTATATTATTTTGAGTAAATAAAAATATTTAACTATCAATATAACCAATATAATATTTGATAATAATTTGAAAAATATTACAAAATCTCATTTTACAATATGTAACAATAAAATTAAGAACATTTAATTATTGAGCCCTTCTTATTTTATATTGTACAATATGGCAAACATAATGTTCAAATAAAAAAAAAATTCACTGTATACCAAAAAATTTCTGATCACATTTTGTCTATACATTACCTTGCTACACTAAAAAGAAGCGGAACATGTGTGTTGCATACATAAAAATTTATACATATACACACATACAAAAATATATAGGAGTAAATTACCATAATAAATAATATGTTCAACTGGAAATAATGTATATTAGCATTTATATACGAAAATTTATATAAAAGAAATTTTGAGCATTTAAATAGCTATACTATTGAACCGAATAATAAAATATTTCACATGCATATACATTAAAATACCCATACATAAATGTGTAAATATATATATATATATATATTTTAATATTTCTACATATTATATACATGAAACTTGAATGTAATCTATATACCAGAATATGAGCTATATTCAAAAGGGTATTATAAAATCTATATTTATTTTGTAACACTTAGATATAATTAAATTTAACTATGGGCACATGACTCTTATGAACTACGAAAAAGATGAGTAAGCAGGTATATTAAACTTTCTTTAAAAGAGAAATTAACAGAAAAGATTCCATAGTGCAGAAGCAACGGCTTAGTGTTTAGTCATTGTATTCCAATAAAAACGAAGTATATAGAAGCCTAGTGTGACTATATAACTGTACTCATGTACACAGGAAATTAAAAGAGTTATCAGAGCCCATGATATGAACTTCTGAAAAAATTTTTTTACAGTTTCACAAATGTTTAAAATTGAAAATGTCACAATTCAAACAGTGTTACAATTAGCTATTTAAAATAATTCAACTAACAATTCTGTAATAACAATCTCTTCCTACACTCCTTTATTCACTACAGCCTTTTACAAATAAGATAAGAAGAGTCAGTCAAAAAACTATTTTATCATAACAATTTTTCAATTCTCGAAATTTAATTGAATTTAAAATTCAGCATGACCTAATTAATTGTTTAAAATAATTATGTTCAAGTTTTGGTAATAATATGGTAAATCTCGTTATAAAATATAGTATATAATAATCTCATATAATTTTATACTCATAACATATAATAGTCAAAGAAGCATGTATATTTTCAGTGTCGAATTCTAAATCAGTGAATAATAAGTTGCCTTCTCAACACTTAAATTGCCCGTATCAACTCTACCTATATATTATTCTTATTTCATTAAGAATCAATTTATTTTTGCATAAATGTATATATTTATGTAGATTTGTATGTTTCTATCACGTAATATACAAATAATTTTCGGTAACATATAAATGTCAAGATTCTGTATATTGTTATATGTATAAATAAAATATAATACACACATTATATACATGATATATATCCAATATATGCTACGTATATTTTTATATTTGAAAATAGAATAATATTATTCAAATATATATATATATACAAAATATATATATATGTATATGAAATGTTATCGCTCAAACTTTTCTTATACAAAATATTCTTTGTAATTTTTGCAAAATATTTTTCTATTCTTTCATTATAAAACTTATAATATTATTCTATATTCCTTTGAAGTCCTTCTTAAATGTCAAATGTGAAGAATATAATAAATAGGTGTACATACATATATCGTAAAAACATAATAAGAAATCTATGTTACACACATTTGACGAACAATGTTAATATAGAAATTGAAGAGCAGAAAAAATAAAGAGAGGGTGAAAAATGTGAAGTGCAAAGAGCTGTGTACAACACAACATCAAAAAAAAAAAAATTTACTGTCATGTGTACACAAATTTTAAATATATGAGTATATACATTTGTGTAATAGAATGTATATTATATATATACTTATAAATATTATATATATTCTTATATATATTATATATATATATATGTATATGGAATTATAATGTTATTATACCCTCGAATTTTTCCATTTATTTTTTTTTTTTGTATTATCATTTTTATAAAAATATTGTGTATTCACAGGATATACCCAATATTATTGTCAACGGTATAATGTTTGTATAATTATATAGTGTATATTTGAGTATCAAGTTTTTTTTTCCATAATTTCTTTCTTCTTTTTCTTCAGTATACACGAATAACAATTTCTCTCATTTCATTATGTTTTCTAAATTTATTAAGTATATAATAATGGTATTTTGTTTGTGTACATAAATATTATATACTTAAGATATCATCAAGTGTTGTTGTGAATATGTGTGTATAACATAACGACCTTTTTTTTTTTTGTTTTTCCTTTTTATTATTCCTAATACAACTTAATCAGATAGCAACAGGCATTTAAAAAGTTTTACAATTCGATTTGGGTTTTTATTTTTGTTGTTTCAATATTCTTTAATAATTTCGTATATACTTAATTTTTTTCGGATTTTTCATTCTTTCATCACAACTTTCATGATGGTATTAGTTAAATATATCTATTTGTATTTTATGAATGTATGTGTAAGAGATTTTCTTTATATATTTTAAAATTCTTTTATACGAGCAGTATTGTGTTTGCGGAGAGAATTTAAAAAAAGGAATGAAAACACACAAAAAGAGAATAAAAAAATAAATATGTAAAAGCACTTCCATTCAGCACAGTAACCTTTATAAAGGTAAAAAAAAATTGTGATGGAAGAAATTTTTGTTGTTATTTGTTTGTTTTTTCGGTTTTTTGTTATTTTTCCCTCTTTAAAAGTTTATAATAACAAAATTTTCAAATAAAATAAAAATTTTTTTTTTTAGCTTTTATTGAAAAAAATGATTTAAGAAATTTTTTTGTAAAAAGGATGTTTGTTGAATTTCGGAGAGAAAGAAG